TCAAAAATGACTCCGAGGAATTTGCCTGAGAGAGTGGAGGCTTATACGTGATCGAGAAAAAAGGATGAAGGATTTGGAGGCGAAAAAGCGGAAGCCATGGTCAGCGGCCCGGGAAAAGATTAAAGATACTGTAGACTTGATTAGTTGTCTGACGTATAAATGATAAAATCATCTACATACATGGAGGATCGGATACCTGGTGGTAATAGCGAAATTAAGTCATTTATGGCAAGAGGGAATGGTGTACTTAGTACACCCCCTTGTGTGAAGTTGAAGAGGGAAATTTGATTCGCAAGGTACGATTAGAAAGGAGATTTACTAAATACACCCATGTTCCCTCGTATGCCATGAGATGATAACTGTTTGAGAATATGGTATCACCATGTAGTGTCATATGCCTTTTCCAGGTCGAAGAAAACGGCTGATAACTGAGTTATGGCGTGCAAAGACTGTGCTTCGAGCACGACGGAATCCAAATTGGGAGGAAGTTAGAAGACTGTTGTATTCAAGCAGTTAGTCAGAGAAATGGGCCAGTAGTCTTGAGGGAGGGTGGCGGATTTATTAGGGTTAGGGAAAGGTAGAACAAGAGCTCCAGGCCAGTGAGGAGGAAAGTTCCCATTCGTCCAAATAGTGTTAAAGGATAAGGAGACAGATGGAAGATGTCGTAGCATACGGTAGTGAATGCCGTCAGGGCCTTCATGTGTATTGCGGCACGACTGTAAGGTAGAAAGGAGCTCAGTATAGAAGGGGCACTGCAGGGTTCTGTAGAGTTAAAGGAGATGGGAGTGTGTTCTTTGGCTGTTTTAATGAAATGGAGTTGGGAAGGAAGGTAAGAGCCACTACTGACTTGGCTGAAATAAGCAGCAAGTCAGTAGTAACTTGTGAAGATTCAGAAATGAGAGTGACAGTTCAAATCGCCGATTATAAGGAATGGTGGTTGAAGTTGAGAAAGCAAAGTTTTGAAGACACTAAAATCAATGGGAAGAGAAGGAGAAAAGTAAGCTGCAACAACTGTGGTTCAACGGCGAGGAAAGATGCGTATAATTGCACAAGGGACAGTAGTTTGGAAGGGAGGTATAGTGTATGGTGTGGCTTGATAAATGAGTATAGATGAGACAGAAAGAGTGAGGGGATGAAGTAAAATGATAATCTGGAATCGGTACTGGAGGATGTGTTAGGAAGTTTTCTTGGAGACAATGGATGGGTGTGGGAAGATCTGAGGTGACGAAGATCAGGTCTGGGAGAACGAAAACCTTGAATCTCTTACTGTAGGAGTCATTGTGGATCAATCAACGGGTGATAAAGGTAGGGAGGGATGTCTGAGAAGTAGGGGGAGGAGTGTCTGGGACTGAGGTAGGGGATCAGAGGAAGGAGGTGAAGGTGTAATATCAGAAGTTCATCAGGGAAGGTGGGATCCGGGGAAGGACATTTTGACAAAAAAAGATTCGCGTGTGTATCCTGGACGGATTGGATGGGGGTTTTGGAGTGGATGGAGGAAAGGATAGGGTAAGTTGGGAAGAAGTAGGGGGAAGAGGGGTAGGAGGAATAAGAAGAGGAAGATGGACGTCGGTGGTCACTTTGAATGTAGCCGGAATGGGGTTAGAGAAACTGGAAGATGGATGAGAGAGAGGAACTTTCTCGTAAGTCTTACTTAGAAGATTCTAATGCCCTCTGAGGTTTCTGGAGGGGATAGGGGTGGGGAGGTTTGGGAAACAAAATATTTTTTTTACGAGGTGAAGAGAAGACAGGCATCTAGAGGAATAGAGGATGGTTAATGGTTATAACAAATAAATGTGCTAGACATCAAAGGTCATATAGCCCTATGGTAAAGGATTGTGGTGAGAAGGATAAAAATGAGTTAACAATTTGGATAAATGGACAGAAGAAGGAGATGAAGAAGAGAAGGAAAGGAAAAGGGGAGAAGAAAAGACCAAGCAAAATTAGTTGAGGTGAGGGCTGAGGTCCAAGGCAGGGTGATTCCCTACATTGGGCCTCAGTCTCTGTCTCTTAAGCCCCCCCCCCCCAACCACAACAGCAACAAGCAAGGGATTGGGATGTAGAGGATGTAGATGTGGGGAGGGATGTGTTTGGTGAAGATGGGGTGGAACGTTTGGATTGTCTGGTACGATAGATCCGTCGAGGAACAGAGAAGGACACAATGGGAGTTGTGGAAATTTGAAGTATCTGGTTTTAGGATGGAAAAAGGATTTGACCGGAAGGTAGGGGAAGCTGACGAGTAAGGGGAAGTGGTACTGAGGAAAATGTAAAGATTACTTGGGTAGAGGGGATAGGAGTGGAGTGAAGTATGGTATTGGAGTTGAGTGATTGAAAAACGTGCCTCAAACTCATAAGCAGGGCACAGAAAGGCCAAAACACCAACATTTCTGACACTGACAGTATGGGGTTGATATGGTCTGACAGGGCAAGATTCTCCTCCTATATAGACCTTATAGGGAAGGTCATGTATACTGAAGGTAATCTTGATGTGGGACTTATGGCTGCCTGTGGGGGGAATAGTGCAGAACTGTACTGATACAGCATCATAGTCAGTGAGGCAGGCAAGTATTTCGTAGTCACACTCTGCCCAATCTTTGTCACTGATAGAACAATCAGCCGGGGAGATGGAAACAGTTCCAGTACATGTATTTAGGGAGGAGTGGGGTTGGGCAGGAATAGGTTTGCCAGTGAGGTCAACCAGGGTAAATAGTGCATGGGCTTTAGACTCAGATATAACTATGACAAGGCGTGAGAGGTGAGGCCGACTGCAGAAGAAAACTTTGCCTACTTGCTTTTGGAGGCACTGTTGAAGGAGAAGGGTATTGTCAAAGTAAGGGGGAATCACAAATAATCTGTCCCATTTGGCTGGGCTGAACAGGGTACTGAAAAGGTTTGCAGAAGTGGGAATGGTAGAGGGGCGAGGATGGGTGGAGGAGGGGGTGGTGTGGAGTGAGATAGTACTGTGGGGGTGAGGGCAATAGGGTTGAAGAGATGTGATGAGGAAGGAGGAGGTAGAAAATGAAGACAATTATGCAGGAGGTGGGTTGGAGGATATTGGAAGTGAGGATGGGGGCATCTTTTGAAAGTTGAATTATAACCTGGGTAAATGATTCAGGATGGATCAAGTTGACTTTGTGTCGACGAGGGGGGTGTAGTAGCAGTGGTCAGAGTTGTGATCAAAGAGGTCAGGGGTCAGTAAACCAGAGGAGGTAGATTCAGAAAGGCTAGTTAATAGTTAAAGGTTAAAAGCAAAATGAATGAGCTAGACATCTAAGGTCATGTAGCACTATAGGAAGGTACAGTAAAGGGTAGTGAAGGGTGGTTGAGTTAGTAGTTAGTCGCTATACATCAACTATCAAGATAAATATTAAAAAGGTTAAAGATGGGTAAAGGAGTTGATGAGTGAATGGGTTAAGGTTGGGTTAAGTAAGGGGGATTAGATCAAGTGAAGGATATGTATGCATCTGAGGAAGGAGAACAAGTTTTCAAAGCAGAAAGTGTGAGATTCAGTAAGGGTGTCTGATAGGTTGGTGAAGGGAGGATAGATGGTGGAAAGCAGAGGTATGGACTTCATCAAAGCATGGACAAGACAACAGAATGTACGGAACTGAAAGAGGGACATTAGATAGGGAACATAAGGGCAGATCAAAACTTGACATCAGATAGGTGTGTGTTAGATGGGTGAGGCCAATATGTAAGCGGGTAAGAGCTGTCTCCCAACGTCTGTTCCAATGAAATGGAGCTGACCAGGAGGAGATTGATAGTTTTACAGTATGTAATTTATTAGTGCAGAGACTTAACTAGAAAGATTGCCATCGGGTATACAGGAAGGTCATAAAGTGGGGGTAATAATCCGTGGCTGGAATACATGAGAAACATGGTTGGTGGACATAGCAATGTAGCATGCTAGAGTATCTGCCTGTTCATTGCCAGGGATTCTGGCATGGCTGGGCAGCCAGCAAAATCTGATAGATTTATGGCATTTGGACAGGTAGAACAATCAGTTTTGAATCTTACAGACAAGGGGATTGGTCGAGTGCATAGACTTTATGAGAGATAAGGAGTCACAGGAGTCAGTAGAAATAGTGAAAGAGGAAGAAGGCAGTGAGTGTATGTGTTTTAAGGCAAAAAGGATTGCATACAGTTCTGCAGTAAGGACATTGGATTCAGAAGGGAGGAGGTATTTGAAAGTGCGAGTTGGGAAGGTTACTGCAAAAACAGCACTGGAGATCTTTGTAAACATGAATACTGGCAGAATGAATGGAGACATGGTCAAGGAAATGGGTGAGAAGGATAGCAGAAAAGGAAAGCAGGAAAAGAAAAGACCATGCAAAATTAGTTGAGTCGACAGCTGAGGCCCAAGGTAGGGGAGATCCCCAACAATGAGCCTCAGTCTAAATCTCCTGAACCCCCCCCCACAACATCAATGGGCATTATGATGAAGTATTATGGCAAAAAGGGTTAAAGTAAGTTAACAATTAGGATAAGTGGACAGAAGAAGAGAAGGAAAAGGAAAGGGAGAGAAGGAAAGACTGTGCAAACTAAGTTGATGTGAGGGCTGAGGTTCAAGGTAGGGGTGATCCCTGGCACAGGGCCTCAGTCTCCGTCTCCGAAGCCCCCCACAACAAAAGAAGCAAGGAATTGGGGGTTGAAATTAGTAACCTAGGACTCAGAGAACCTAAAGAGTAGTCTTGACATTTTTTTCTATTCTATAGCTTGTGATCAGATTAGGAAACCAAATTTTCCCGCTTCACTCAGTGAATAAATTTGTAGACGGAAGTTTTAAACTTTACAACTAGAAATCAGAAAATAAAAGCAAACTCTAACAGCTTAGCCTACAGAAAGCCTATCTTCAAATTTAGATGAAATAAAACCTTTGACAGTTGTAAAGCCATTTGATAATTATTCAAGTATCCTTATATTTTCAAGTAAAACTAGAAAATAAAGGTAACCATCTTATTACCACACCACTCATTTAACAGCAGGAATTCACAGCGTTGTAACAGGAATCAATATTTTTATTTTCAAATATATAAAACATAAAAGGCATCTCTTAAGCCACATTCATAATTGAAGGAATAAACTAAAATAGAACTCAGTATGAATTGTATACAAGTCAGTTACAATTTTTTTCCTACATTAGAGAACTGATAAAAATATTCTTGTACATCGTAACATTAGAACATCTCTTTTTTTACAATGATCTAAAAATATTCCACGTTAATTCAATATCTTTTATAAGGAATATGAAGTAATGAAAGCTATGATCATGAAAATAATTATAGTTATATAATATTCTGGATCCATTACACTTAATATCTAATCCAATTTACATTCATATATTATAATGATTTAAGATGGGGTGAGGGATAACCTTTAAAATGCTATTTCTCAGGAGAAATAACTGGATAAATATAAACTGTGCTTGCCATTTTACTGATGCTGCATAATCAATGTAAAATAGCAGATGCAATCAACATCTCCACAAAAAAATATTTTTGGAATACTCTAATAATCAAATGCAAAATAAAACACACAATTCTCAAAAAAAATAAAATGACATTCCTGTAGCACATGCACCTCAACAGACATATTCAAAACTAAAACTCAAATCAAATCATCATTACCATCTTTTTTTTATATATTATATACTTCCTGTTTACATAATAAAAAAAATCTATATTTGTAATGCAGTGGTAACTGAAACCTTTCCATAGTTCCCATATGTTGCAAACTTTCAAACTTTTATGAACACAGCACCTGTTTTATGAAGCATTCAATTATCATTTATCCAGGATGTGAAAAATGCAGTTGGATATAATATCTAAAATCCTCTTTCATTCTTTCAGAAACATATACAATGTCTTCCTTGACCTATAATCAAGTCACTCTTGCTCTCTGATGAAGTCTGACGGGAAATCCCCATGGACACTTTTATAATTCCCTTACACTAGTTAGCATTATTATTAACTCTCCGTCTTTGGTTGGGCCTTTCCTCAACAACAATGGACCCTGCGATGATGTCATACACAGTGCGATTGTGTTGGAATGAGAAAAGTGTGAAGCAGATAGGGAAGAGGAAGGTCAAGGAGAAATTCTTCACCACGGACCGAATGGCAGCACGACTTAACCTGGAAAGAGCAGGAAGAAAAATTAATCAAAATGAGCCTCTGACATTTACCCCAGAACATATCTCTGTCACAAACAAAACACAAGGATATACCATCATAACAGTATTTTTTAAATGTGAACTAACCCTAGATCTGATGCAGGGAAAACTAAAGCTTGTTCACCTAATGTGGGCACAACCCACTCGCATCGCACCACCTTAAGCCCTATCAGTTTCTTGCCCGGAGTTGCTCCGCCTGTCCCACCTGAACCACGGTGTAAACAAAGGGCCTGCAAACAGACAAATCATTCCTGGAAATGTGCCATCAGAAAGAGAAGTGCTAATGCACTTGATTAACTATTTAATCATCATTTTTCAAAAAACTTTCTATAATATAATACATCACAAAAAAGTACGAAGTTCACTCACCTCAAACACACATGTGCCAATACGGTGGATTAACTCAAGCACAAGAATTTCTGATGTCATTTCAAGAGCAATTTTGTAATCAGCCATGATGTCAGCTCCTAAATTCTCAAAGTCATATTTTTCTACATCACTCCTGAAGATATGCATGATACAGAAAAAAATGTAAGAAGTGCAAGTCTAACAAAGTATAATATTATAGGAAAATTTAAAAGCTTCTCCCTTTTATACATTTCTGGACAAATTTACAACAGCCAACAAAATTTAATATAACATTCCATATCAAAATCAAATTCTGCTGTAACATTCAACATTTATTCCTAATAACCTACTTGTTAATATTGATGTTAGGCTATGTGTCAGTTTAACACTCACCTGGAGCAAACTTTTTTTTTTAAGAAAATAATGTAATGAATAAAATATGAATATATATGTACTTCTACAAACACATATATCAATTCATGAAACAAACATATCTCTATTTCTATATACTTAAATCTACCTGCCTATCTAACAGCATATTTATCTATAAACCACAATAAAGACATCAGAATCATGATATATATTCAATCATAGGTGCATTTTCTAATACTTACAGTAGATCAAAGGCATCCACTGCTGCAAATGTGACGGCTAACTTGATGACGAACAGGAGAAGGAAGTCAATGGCCTCGGCAATAAGTCTCTTCCATAGAGGTGGGATTACATATTCTACACCTGCAAGAGGGTGATTCTTATGAGCCTTAAAAATGACTTGCACCACTATAAAAGGAGCTATGATACCCTTAAAGAGAATAATTATGTTAAGGATAGACTCAATTAAAAGCTGTATGTGAAACTGACTTTGGAAGTTAGTCTAAAGATGGAGAGCAATCTGAAGTAAACCTAAAATGAGTAGGATATTTTGATCACAGTTCTCTTGGTGTATATCACATACTAATTTGAAATTTACAAATTCCTATTTTCCATCCCGCAAAATCTATAGGTTGAGTAATCTTTATATATAATATGATATGTGAAATTATTAAAAAACAGTCAATAAAGTAAATGTGATGAAATGCTGATATATGCTATAAAACTTCATAGAATTAAAACATCTCTTATCCTAAGAATGTGGAGTCAAAATAAACTATGAAGAAAAGACTCCGTGAATGTCACACTGAAATACCTCTTTGTTGCTGTTCTTGGGGCTGTTGCTGCTGCTGCTGGTTGGCATTTCTCTGCTCAGGTGCCGGTGGAGTGGTAGGAGTTGGGGCTGGCTGTTGTGGCTGGGTTGGGGGAGGGACTGACGGCCCAGGACTCCCAATTCCATTCTGCAAGGATTGAATAAAAACAACTAATTCGTCAAACAATGTTAAGGTACCCTTATGCACAGCAAGAAACTGCCTGATGAAGAATGCAATAGTTCCAACAAAAATATTATAAACAGATATGGAGGGGGAAAGTAATTAAAGACCTCATTGATATGAAAAGTAAAGACTTCCTTTATCATGCATATGGCTTAAACTCAAAGTTTTACACAGACATGGAATTTTACAGGTATGCATGAGATTATTCAAAGAAAGACATAAAATATGATCAAATTCCCATACAAAGTACATGCAGCAGATATTGAAAAAACCTAATCCCTAAGCACCTATAAGAAAAGTCAAATGTTAACAGAATAAATATTAATCTTTGTAAATTCAGCAACTGAAGAGAAATGAGGTAACTATAAAAGATATTTCTTGGAGCTTTTTTTTCAGGATGCACTTTATGATACAATACTTAGTCTATCAAGAATTCCCACCTGTTTTTGTATAGATGCAAGAAAATAAGGAAATGCTGCTGCTGCACACTGCCACTGGTACATTTGGTTCATCCACGACCGCAGTGCCTCAGCGTAATCTCCAGCTGTAGGGTACTGTCCCTCATACTGGCGTGGGGGAACTGTTCGTTCTTCTGTGAGAAAGCAACATTCAATTCAATTTCTTCTTGTAATCTGTTATAAATAAACTTGAAGGATTATCTCACTGGATTATCTTGTAAATACATATGCTAATTTAAACCTAGTCTAAATATCTATTTAGGAAACATATTCACTAATGTCATAAATCATCAAATAATGTGAATATCTAAAAACACATATGTTCATATCCTTATTCTGTATATGATTACTGGGTTTTATAAGAAGGATCTACATATAAGG